CAAGAAAAAGCTTCCAAAACCTTTTTTTTACAAAAAACAAAATTATGAATGAATGAAATGATGAAATGATCAAAATATCAACAGACACATATGCATGTTATAAAGAATAAAAAGTAATAAAAATACTACTCATTGATTCATTTGTTTTTTATTAGTCTTATCTTGATTACCAATCAAGCCCTTATCTAAATCACAATCAGGAACCTTGTGTAAGGACACTTAGAATATGATAATGCAAAACCTTCACATTGACACTCTCATCAGCACCAACATCTCTAACTAGCGCTGATGTGAAGTCAAGTTTAGAATGTCGTGTTAAAACTTCATAAATGTAATCTATTATATATATATATATATATATATATATATATATATATATATATATATATATATATATATATATATATATATATATATATAGATACATAGTTAGTTAACAGATCTGATATCTTAGGGATATCGGATATATTCTATTGTTTATATAGATTAAGTGATATCGCTGGCTTGTAGGGATTCACATGTGTTTACTTTTCAGTATATACTAGGGTTTGTATCATTAGTTGATAATCGAAGCCTAGAAAGCTTTGTGCTTGTTCTCTTAGTGAGAACCTTTTCTTAGTGAAAAACCTTTGTGATACATCTTGTGTTCTTTCAATACTTTCATTGTTAATCATCATAGATCAAGGGAACCTACAACTGGTATCAGAGTAGGTTATCTTGTTTGATTAACAATGTCTGCTCCTTCCTCATCAAACCATTCAAAAACCACTTCTAGTGATAAAATACCTCAATTTGATGAAAAGAATTTCACAATATGGAAGTCCAAAGAAATGATGGTTCTCGAAACCATGGACTACTCCATGTTGAGCATCATCAATGATGGTTCTCATGTTCCTATGTATCAACCTATCACAAAGTATGTTAAAGAAGGTGACATGTTTGAAAAACCTGTCCATGAGTTCGATGATGAAGACAAGCGTCTTGTTGCTCTTGATGTGAGGGCTCATGCTGCTATAAGGAACACTCTTCCTTATGATATCTATCATTTTGTCAAAAACTACAGATCTGCCAAAGAGATGATGCAAACGCCGACTGTCGCATATAAAGGTACCGATGAAGTAAAAGTTGTTAATAAACATATTTTAAATAGACGATATGAGCACTTCTTTCAACAGAAGAATGAAACCCTCACCCATTTCTTCAATCTTTTTAATTTCTTGGTAAACGATATGCGTCGATTAAATATGAACAATACTAGAAAATCTCTCTTGCTTAAGTTTCTTGATTTACTGAATGATAGTTGGGAGCATAATGTTGATGTTTTGAAGAATGAAAAGATTGCAACCATGGATTTAGCCTCTCTATTTGGTAATCTTCGTAATCATGAAGAAACAAAGATATTGCGGAAGGAAATCATGTGAGATACTCATAGGGACAAATCTGTAGCTTTGTATTCCAAGAAGTCTCAAGAAAGTGACAGTGACTTCTCTGACGAATCAGAAGGTGAAGCCCTGATTATTAAACACTATATTAGCATGAATGACCAGAAACCACCTGGGTTTAGAAAGTTTCAATCTAAGACTGGCTCATCAACGTCCAAATATTTTGACGCTTAAATGAAGACTGATGCTGAGAAAAAAGGTTTCAAGTGTTTCAATTATGGAGGTGCTGACCACTTTTCCAGAGATTGAAAATCAAAGAAAGTTGCCACTGATGAAGATTATGAAGCAAAATACAAAAAGATGTTGGCCTCTCTAAAAAGGTAGAACATCGATGTCAAAGTTCTGATTGCTGAAGCTGAAAATTAGGTATCTGAAGAAGAATATTCTGATGAAGATAAAGGTAAGGATAAGTGTTTGATGGCTCGCACTAAAGGTCCAATTGTTGATAAAGAAAGCGTCTCTAGCTCCTTTAAAGACGATCTTGCAAAAGCTGCGAAGGACTCAAAACATCTTGACTGAGATTCATCGTCTTTGTATTAGGTAAACAAGTTCATTAGTTATTATGATAACGAAAAAAACATGATGTTTGATTACTTGTGCCATCATCTCTCTAAGTTTAATCAAGAAAAACACTTACTGAGGGTTGAAATTGACACACTTGTGAACAACTTGTCTTACATTAAAAAATCTCTTTCTTTAACGAAATCTAAGGTCACTAACTTATCTCTTACAAACACTGATCTTCACTCAAAAATAGATCAAGCTGAAGCATATTCTAATAAGCTTCAAGGTATAATAAATACCTGGGCTCATTTTCATCAAAATCTCAATAAAATAATAGATTCTCAGATTCCTGATGAGTGTGAAAAAAAAATCCTTGGTGGAGATATTGATGAAGCTTATAATATTTTTAAACACTATACTACTAACTCTGAAAGTATTATTGTGTGTACTACTCGTCTAACTACATTAGATCCTACCATCTGTAACCCCATCCTGGACATTCCCTCTCCTGCCACTGAAATGTATCTTAAATTTCCCATATCCAATGGAGAGTATCACTCCACACATAAGATACTCAGTGAGTCACCAGAATGGACTGCTAGTAGTTATGACACTGAGTTTTCCTACTCCCTTGACACTGATGAACCTTTGTGCAAATCAGTGTCACATGCTTCCTCCTCATATTCCTGTCACTCTGACAAGTCTTTTATCTCAAAAACCTGTTCTAAAATTCATGATTTTTACAAAAAGGTCACGTCTCATTGGAAACCCAATTGTTTGAAAAATAGAAATAAAAAACATGGGATGAGGATATGTTATCGTTGTGGAGACACTTCTCATAAGATCAATGAATGTACTTTTGATGAAAATTCCAAGAGAATTGACAATATTTGTTTGAGAAAGGAGAAATAGTTCAAAAAGGATAATTCTGTAAACTGTCTTCCTTCTTCATGTTATAAAATCTTTAATAAACCTATTGAAAAATGGGTTAGTATGTGCTAATTTGTTTCTTAGCTTTACATGGTCAAGAGCACGCTTGGTATCTAGATAGTGGCTGCTCAAGGCATATGACATGATGCAAATATCTCCTGAATGATTTTGTTGAAAAGGATGACCATTTGGTGATGTTTGGATACAATCACAAACGAAGGACTATGAGATTTGGATCATTCAGTGCAAGTATATGGATTTCAAGAATGTTTCTTATGTCTCAGGCCTGAGATACAACCTCATTTCCACCATTCAACTTTTTGACACTGGTTATAAGGTTTTCTTCAGCAAACAGGAAGGAAATATTGTGGATTCAAGGAACTCTATCTTGCTCAATACTATAAGGAAGAATAACATTTATGTGTTTAATATCGTTTCTATTTGATAAATAATTACTTCTTTGTGCTTTCAGTATTTTGCTTCTTTTATTTCAAAAACTACAAAAACATGAGAAATTCGCTTTAATAAAAATACAAATTCTAGCTTTTGTTTTACTAAAGGAGTTTACATTGCATGCTTTTATTCCTGTTCCTAATGATCACTAGTGTTTTCTCCTCTCTTTATTTGTTCTCAAGTCTCAGGATCATCAAATATATCTCTACTTCAAGGAATAAAATCATATATCTATTCTTATGTTTTAATCTATATTTTGATATGTTTGCTTGTGTTTTTGTCTCTCTTTATAGAAAGAGGTTTCGTGGTAGATGTCTTGGAAGGATGAAATTCATTAATGATTATTTAATTCGATGGATTCGCAAAATCTGGTCTTTATGAGTTCTCTAAAAAAGCTGCATGTTTTTCTCTCTCTTTTAATATTTCATTGTTTAACTAATTCTTTTATGTTTTATTTTCTTTTATTTTAATTTTTGTATTGTACCATATTAAAGGAATTGACGGCGAGCCTTTGATTCTAGACTGCAACTTGAGTCTATGATACTGGAAGAAGAACCACTTCCTGTTGATGAGCTAGACACTCTATATGATTCACACCAATTTCACCTCAGTGTGACTGAGACATTCCATATCTCTCGCCACAAGTCTTCTTTTATAGAACTTGACGATTCACTGTGCAAAACCACACACTGAAAAGTTCGAAATTTTGTGCCGATGGTTAGACTATGTACTGTAGTTTATCACACACACCACCCATTCTTTCCCTTCAATTCTTCTTAAAATTTTTATGATTCAACGTTAAATACTAGACACTGATGAGAACTTGAAAAATCTGTGTTGATGGTTAAGCTATGTACCGTAGTTTATCACACGCACCAATCCATTCTTGCCCTTAAATTCCTCTTTAAACCTTTATGATTTAGTGTTAAATACCAGATACTGATGAGAACTAAAAAATCTATGCCGATAGGTATATCATGTACCATGATATATTACACGCACCTACCCTTTCTCACCCTATAAAAGAGTTTTATGATTCACTATAAAAACCATACACTGATAAAAATTCGACACTCTATGCCGATCGATATTCGTACGGGAATGTATTACACACATCATCCTTTTCTTACCCAAATCTATTCTTCTAATAAAAGTAGTTAATGATTCAGTGTATAGAACCATACATCAATGAGACTTCACAACTTTGTGTGAATGATCTACTAGTGCAACAACATACTAGTGTGATACACCAAAATCCCTCCTATCTTTCCACTGCATTTTTCATTCACTGGTGCTGTCTACATTCTTTTGTCACTGATGATTGTTACCAAATGCAAATCTTGGATCAAGTTACCCTCTTTTTAGAAGCTTGTTTTAAACGGTAACTTTTTAAATTTGGGGATATGCATCACTCCTAGATAACTACGAGATTTGGGGCGGATTATTCTCTCTCTTATAATTACATCTCAACAATGCTCTCAAAGATATAAAAGGGGAGGATTATCATTTTCATCACATTCACATTACGCTTCCATTGGGATTAAAATTCCTCATCTATCTTCAATCACAAGAACCCTAATCATGATGGCTCCTCCATTTGTTCTTTACATATATGTTACGACTTCAAACGCCATCAAGGTTGCTTGAACTCCTGATTCTCCCATCGTCATCATGGAAAACATTGTAGTTTTCTCTCCTGATATCCCAAAAAATTATACGAATAAGGGATTTGAAGATTTCATGGCCTATCTTTCATCTTTTCCACTTCACTATGCTCTTGTAGATGTTCCTGATTCTTTTCTTCCACAACATGTTATTGAGTTATACTTCACTTCTACCTTCACTGATGCTGGAGTAATTGTTGGCACTGTTAATGATGGAATTCATACGATTTTAGTGACTGTAATGGATGTTCGAAGATCCCTACGACTCCCAATTCGTGATGAATATTTTCCTCTTTTATCTATAGATGAATGTCATGCTGTTCTAGAGAATATGGATTATGACTTTGGGAAACAAAAGGATTACATTATTCATCGTCATTATCTTCCTTCAACCTGGAAATTTCTCAATGGTGTCCTAGGAAAATGTTTCACTCATAAAGTTAGAAGCCTTGATCAAATTAATTCTTTTGAGCAACACATTCTTTTCTCCATCATTAGGAATAAGAATCTTGATTTTCTCAGATGATATTTGATCAATTTGCCGAAATTATCCAAGGTAGTAAAAGATCTCCTCATGTTCCATATTCCAGATGGTTGACACTAATCCTTCAACATATTGGTACTAGTTGTGATGATGATCAAGCTGAAGATTGGACTCACTCCTTGACCTCATCCAAGTTGTTCAATCAAGATCTTGATGATGAATGGAGCATTACAAAGTGTATGTAGAAGTGGATTAATGTTCCATATGAGTGTGAAAAAATGGCTTATGTGGCTCCTATTATCTTTTCAGAAGATGAAATAATAGGGAATGAAACTCACTCATTGTCAAACCAACAAACTGCAGAAGACACACAAGTAGACACTGGGAATCTCTCTCATTATGATAAAGATGCAAATGCTGTCAATGAGAACTTAGACGCTGGAAATAATTACAAAAGTCAGGATACAAAAATGGTTCATGTATTTCCAGATCAAGCCAAACAAGCAAACTTACAAGATCTCAATGAATCTGAATCAATTCGACCCAACAAACACATTCAATTTGAGTATTCTTCATCTGCTGATGAAGAAGATATTGTTCTCGAAAATCCTCCAACTCAACTATCTGATCAACAAGGTAATGATGCTGACACTGAATACATCTTGGAGACTTCTCCATGTGATCAAGGTTTTATATATTTTGCTCGTACTTCCTCTCCTGCTAGTGATCGAACACCCTATTTCTCTCTCCAGAGAGGCCTACAGTTCAACATGTCTCTACTTCCCTTATTCAACCCGAACAACATCCGATCATTCAACAAATTCCTCTTACTGTTCAAGGGGATCAAACAACCATTCAAGGGGGAGATACTGCCAACAAGTCAGTTTCTTGTTGACTTAAAAGCTTTTCAAGTTAAGACTCTTTATACATTAGAGTCACTTGTTTAACTCACATTAAATTTGAATCAACGGCTGCTCACTATCGAGACTGATGTTGCTAAGATCAAGCCCATAGTCACTACACTGATATAAAGACTGATGATGATGGCAATCAGTCTCCACCTGGGGATGACCATCAGCCACCTCCTGACTCTAAAAGGTGCTCCATCTTACAACAATACTTCCACCTCCATACATCCACCGCGTCCTCCTTAAGGACCTCCTACATTAACACCTCTACCTTATAAGAATCCTACTCCTACTATTTTTCATTAATATCGATCACTAGCACTTATTAGTGTGCCTCCTCCTCAGTCTGATGATGCCAAAAAAGGGAAGAATGACGCTAACATTGGTACAAGTAATGTTGAAGAGGACATTCCCGAGTCTGATGGTGAAGATGAAGTCTACTGTATGGAGTTGTCCTTCATGGATGTGAATGTGCAACCTCTTCAGGAAATATTTCTTGACACTGACACCTCTGGTGCTGATGATGAGGGGGAGCAACATATCCCTCAAGGGGAACCAAGTGACGTTGAATCAAATGATGATCTTCCCTTGAACAAGAAAAGGAAGGCAAAAGCTGATTTTACTTCTGACGCTGGTCCCTCTAAGAAGAAACACAAATAGATCACTGTGTCTGAAATGGTAAGCTTATGAGGTGTGTCCATTGAAGATGCTAGATAGTTTTCCTAACAACACAACATTCAAAATGCAAATCGGTTGATTTCCAAAAAAGACTAAAAAAGGATTCAACAAATTATGTCTACCTCTAGTTCATTACCTGATCAAATTGAACGTCTCAAAAAGTTTAACATGTTGATGACAAAGGAAAAAGAGATGAAAGCAAATGCAATCACTAAGCTTGAGAGGAGCAGGTTTGGTGATGTTCTAACAAGAAGAAATGATCTTGACCTAATAACCAAGGTTAGATGCACTTAGCCCAAAAATGAAAAGATGCTTACAGTACATATTACCAAGAGAGGTGATAAGGGTCTAGCTGCAGGCTAATACACTGAAGTCTTATTTGTCTAAGATCTGGTAAAATTTAGATACAGCGTGTGGTTGCAGCTTCTAGAATTGGTCAACAAACAAAATGGTAAATATGTTGGGGGAATTGAGGCTTGTTCTAGAATGCCCCATCATAAAGGTTAAAGACCTTGATTTAGTACCAAAGTCTTCCTATAATCCATCCTCATACTCAACATCCGCTGCGGTGCCCAGAAGACATTCTTTCAAAGGAGTAAAATTTCTACTTCCTTTTGGTACCAAATTTATTGAAAACTCCTTCTAGTGGATGTTCATCTAGTTTAACATATGTTCATTGTTTAGCCTGAGCATGGAATCTTCTACATGGATTAATCACAAAGCATGTGCTTTCAACGTTCAATCAATCTAGCTAAATCTCCCACTAAGCATCTGGTCCAGCTAAGGTTTGACTGCTTGGGTCAACCAAATATTGAACACAACTATCACTTTTTGATTTCTCTTGAACTGAACAAAAGGAAGAAAGAGCTTTCTATCTCAGATTATTTCTGGACCAAGCCAGAAGCTGAAGAAGATACTCATGAATTTTACCATTTTTCAATAGAAGAGGATTCATGTTTAGACATCATCAGATTGGGGGAGATTGTAAGGACACTTATAATATGATAATGCAAAACCTTCATGTTGACACTCTCATCAACACCAACATCTCTCACCGGTGCCAATTTGAAGTCAAGTCTACAATGCCGTGTCAGTGTGTAAACTTCATAAATGTAATATGTTGTATATATAGATAGCTACATAGGTAGCTAGTAGATCCGATATCTTAGGGATATTAGATATATTCTATTGTTTACGTAGATTAGGTGATATCACTGGATTGTAAGGATTCACATGTATTTACTTTTCTTTATATACTAGAGTTCGTATCATTAGTTGAATATCGAACCCTAGAGAGCTTTGTGTCCGTTCTCTTAGTGATAACATTTTCTTAGTGAAAAACCTTTGTGATGTATCGTGTTTTCTTTCAATACTTTCATTGTTAATAATCATAAATAATGGCAACCTTCACTTTTCCCTCTTAAGAGGTTGGAAGAAGGTCTTCAAAATAATGTTAGTGACTAGTTTCAGTGACTAACCACCAAAGGTTTTTGTTTACAACTTTACCCGACAGTGAAAATAGTTAAATTTTTTTCCTTTGGTTATCTTGTTTTGCACTGCAGGTTTTGGTCTACAACTACCGAAGTCTCGGTCTTGGTACAACAAATTTCACACTATACATATATTTTTTTAAACTCCTAAAACACTAAAAGAATTCATAAAAAACTTAGAAACACTAAATAGTTTAGTAGATGCATAGGATAACTCATGAGACTTAGGAAACCCAAAAGGTTGGTCAAATTCATTTGTTTTTGTTAACTAGCTAGACAACTTATGAGAAAAACGTCATAACTTTATCTACATAATTCCAAAAGACATGTCGCATTTTTCATTGGAAACTAAACATCTAGATCTCTCTCAACATAAGATACATGATTTTTGGACTTTTGTATCATTCCATACTTAATGTTGAAGTTGTTAAAAAAACACACAAAATTTGGAGATGGAGAGATGAACTTTTTAAAACACAGAATTTGGAGAGATTTCTTAAAATTAATTTTTTCTAACCAAATCTCAACTATTTATAGTACCTAAAATATTATAGTAATTCCTTAATAAATTAGAAACATTAAATACTTAGGTAGATAGATGCAAATGAGGTCTTAAAAGACTTGGGAAACTCAAAAGGTTGGTCAAATTCGGTTGTTTTGGTCCATTGAACAACATGTTGAAAAAATTATCGGACAAGATTATTTTGGAGAGAAGGTTGAATTATTATTTGATTAATAAATTGGAATAAATGATTTGTTTATAAATTATGAGAATAATATATTAATTAGAAATCATAATATTTAATTAATAATTGATCAAAAAATTAATCAGAATTAATTTTGGGATTAATTGGATTAATTAAATACTGAAGGGGCTGTTTGGCAATTTATTGATAGTTAAGGAAAAGGCTCTAGAACCTCCTTAAGAGAGGTTGGACGAAATATTCTAGGTAGGGCCTAGAAATTTTTATCCAAAGGCTCTTGGATGGAGGCCCATGGGCTGCTTGGTCACAAAGCAAAGGGATTAGGGTTTCCAACCCTTAAACCCTAGCTTTGGCTCTAAACTACCTCACCTATATAAGGAGCCTTGGCCTTAACGTTTTCGACACTCCTAACCCTAAGAAAGATCTGGCTGGAATTCTCATTCTCCCTCTCTATAATCCTTAGTTTCTAGTCTTGGGTGTGAACCATCAGAGGCACGACGCTTGTGGTGCTAGCTACCAAAGTTTTGAAGAAGAAGGATTCAAGATTGTTGACTATAACAATCTAAAGGTTAGTTTTCTTATCTTATGAACTATTTCATTCATAGGAAATGTTTTGTATGCCAGATATTCATAGTATGTTGCTATATGAGAAAGACATAGATCAAAACTAGGTTGCATGTGCCCTAATCAGTTAGAATTGTTTGTATTGTTTTCCACTTATGACATTGTTGTTGTAACTTAGATAACCCATAAGTGGTATCAGAGCCCAGGGCCTTCTTTCATGTATTTTCACATTGGTGAATCAAAAAGAAACCTGGTTTTTTGATTTAGTCGTAGGTCACGACGTGAGCCTTATAGCTCACGACGTGAACTTGGTGAGATTCGAAAATCTGGACCAAATCTGCCATATTTAATTTCTTGGATGATTATATTCTATATTTAATTGTTAAATCCGATTTTGCTATATATATCATGATGATTTGAATGCATAGAAATTAGAAAACAAATATTTTACTTGATTGATTATTTGGTGATTAATATGATTGATATTTTAAAGTGTTGAAATAATTATTAATTGGACTTAATAATTAAAGTCAAATATTATTGGGTTTGTGTGGCAGCCGCCATGTCACATATAAATACCACTGGTGCTAGTGGATCAGGGAGTGGTGCACATCCCTCCAATCAGGGTGAAAGTCACGAACACCCACGTGAGTGTTCTTACAAGGAATTTTCAAACGGAAAACCTAGGACCTTTAATGATACCGGGGGAGTCATGGCTTTAAGCCAATGGATTGAGAAAACGGAATCAGTTTTCGAGATCTGCTCGTGCCCGGAAGGTAGCAAAGTTAAATTTGTTGCCTGTACCTTTGCCGATAGAGCCCTAACATGGTGGAACGACCATGTTAAGTCACTAACTCTTGTTGTGGCTAACTCAATGAGTTGGGAAAACCTGAAGTCGATGTTGATGCAGGAGTACTTCCCAAGAGGGGAGGTACAAAAGCTCGAGCAAGAGCTTTAGGGTCTTACCATGAAAGGGTACAGACATGACATCTTACACCAATAGGTTCAGCGACTTAGCGATCCTATGTCCTGGAATGGTTGCTCTGGAGAGCAAGAAGATTGAAAGGTATATATGGGGATTATAACCTCAGATTCAGGGAAGTGTTTTAGCTTCCAAGCCTGTGACATTTGATAGTGCCAAACAGCTGGCACAGCCACTCGTTGACCATGGAGTCCGTCAAGGCTTCATAACTATTGCTCCAGAACAACCCAAAGCAAACAACAATAACAACAACAACAACAAGAAGCAGTGGAACAAAAGGAAGGGCCAATCTTTCTAAGAGCCCTCGAAGAAGCAACAGATAGTGGCAGTCCATGCTGCTACTGTACCTGCTGCTGTTCCTGCTAACTGTGTACGAGCAAAGCAATATGCTGGTAACCTCCCAAAATGTAACAAGTGTAATTTCCACCACCATGGAAATTGCCGTGACATGCAGTGTAGGAACTGCAGCGGAGAAGGGCACACTGCCCGATTATATAAATCACCACCTCAACCGATCAATCAAGTACCTGGCGCTGGCGTAGGTCAGGCATGCTATGGATGTGGTGAAGTTGGACATTACAAAAGGGATTGTCCAAAAGCTAGGAATGCCGCTGGAGTAGGAAGAATACTGGCAAGTGGTCACGAAGAGGTCGTGGCAGACCCTACAGTGGTCACATGTACGTTTCTTCTCAACAATACTTATGCATGCATTCTAGTTGATAGTGGTGCTGAGAAAAGCTTCGTGAGCCATAAATTCGAACACCTACTTAAACAATTTCCCAACCACTAAAAGATACCTTTACCGTAGAAATGGCCAACGGCAAAACTGATAACACTAACGATATATACATAGGATGTACCCTTACCCTAAATAACTTTTCCTTCCCAATAGACCTTATGTCGGTCTCTATAAAAAGTTTCGACGTCATTATTGGTATGGATTGGTTATGTTCTAACCATGCCGACATCTTATGTTACAAAAAATCCATTCGCCTTAACCTACCCAGTAACGAAACTCTTATCGTTTACAGCAACAAATCCGGCGCAAACTTACAAATCATTTCCTGTATCAAGGCACAAAACTATCTTCGCAAGGAGTACTGTGCCTTTCTAGCTCATGTAGTAGACAATAAACAAGAAGTGAAAGACTTCGAGAGCATTCCCGAAGTCTGTAATTTCCCTTACATTTTCCCCGATGATCTTCCAGGTGTCCCACCTGAAAGACAAGTCGAATTCAGAATC